TATCTTCGAATAAGTTAAAACTGTAAACTTAAAACATTTAAGACACGAGTTAGTCTAAATAACATTACAAATTATATTGTTCTACTCGCCGTAACAGACTTAATTTCATTCAAATGCTTACTGCAGTGAGTGGTCAAACAACCGCAGCGTGAAGCATATAGTGATGGACAGACCATAATAAGCATCGCACTTTTAGCTTTGAAGTTGTTTTATTACGCATTTGGCAATTGTTAGAGTCGGATTTTTTCAATAATTCTTGTGTGTCGGGCGAATTATATACCAACCATGGTTCACAACATTTATTGTCTACACACATATCGCCACAAAAGAAGTCAGAAGGAAAAGATATAACAAGAGAGGAAAAAAAACTAAGACTACAGCGGAACTATGAACACGTGATATCTGATAAAGCGTAAGCGCAGCGGGAAGCAACAAGCGACTGGCGACTAGGAGTTAATGTACCGCGCCTCACGAGTGTCTTATGACGTAGCACGGGCTCGGACGGAATCGCTGTTGCCGGGCGCCCGATCGGTGAATCGTATATAAAAAAACGTTAGGTGACCGCGTCGCGTCGCGGCACAGCTGAACGTTGATAGCGATCGCATTGGTAAATAATATAGTAAATGATACGCTACATGTGATTAATAATAAAACGTGAAAATAATATATACTTAATATAGATATGAGAAACATATATAAGAATTAATAAATAAATATTTATTATTAACAAATACATATTAATTTAAAATATTTAGCCGCCACACACACCCTACCACAGTAATAATAACTAAAGCCAATGCTTACTATAAAAAGGTTACAGTACTCTAAATTTAGATTCACTACGTGTCTTGAAAACATCCTGAAGAAAACTGCGCTATTTATAAACTTGTAAACATTAAAAAAACCTTAGATATTTCAAGGCGTCTTTAAGTCAACTGTAATGGAGCATAATCATCTGCAGTGGGCTCGTTCTCTTTATGAATAATTATGTCATCCATTATTTTGTTGGTAGAATGGTTTGACCGGCTGCCTGATTAAAAACTGTGGAGATAACTACGACAATTTCGTCTCAAAACTTATGCGTTATTATTTATGGCATTGAGAGTGGGCGAAACGGATACACACAGCACTCGCATTAGGACTAAATAGGTCGGATGCGAAGTATGTTTATACAAACATTATAAAAGTTGTTGCCCATTGGTTGGAACCTGGACATCGTTCATTAAATTTAAAAAATATTTTTTTTTTGTTTTTTTTTTTTTTGTCTCAGACTGCCTCAGTTCGCTGGCGTATTGAAAGAAAGAAGAAAGAAGTATTTGTATGTTCAATACTCAAATACTATTAAAACATTGGCGTTAATGTTCATATTTTTGCGTCGCCTACGTAATGGTATCGATATGTTAAATTCCGTTCTTGGTGTGTCACTTCCCTAAAGCAATGAGGTTAGGCAAGTCACGAGGGGCAATTTGGTAAAGCGCCGACCATGCATAAAAGGAAATAGGTGCGTGCAAAACGATCGATCCTAGTGATTACGCCTAACTTAAACTTTATGATTCGTTACATTTAATAGTGGTAGGTGATTTTGCGAAGTGTATTAGGTCTAGAATATACAACCAAATATATATGTTTTTTCATACACATGGAAGTTCAATTCCACAGATCATATACTAGTAGTCCAACTCTCAAAAATATTACACTTTTTGAGTTCCAGCTGTTGTCTTGGCATCGATTACGCATTTATTTTAGCATGAAATATATCTACCTCTGGAACAATAATTTTGCTGGACGCCTAATATCTTAGCTTCCGCTTGTTTTTAATTGTATTTGTACTAAAGTTTAAATCAAAACTGAAACCCTAAACCCAAAGATTCCTCCCAAGGACAATTCGCGAGGCTATTGATATAAAGATACACCCTAAGCCCTTTTTGCGTATATTAGAATGAAAAAACTAATAAAATAATCGACGGTAATCTGACCCATGAATGGTGAAAATTTTTCGAAACATCATGAATCTAAAATCAAAATAAAACGCAGTTCTTACAGATTTTAAGGATTTTATTTCAATCTAATATATAAAATTCTCGTGTCACGTTTTATTATATTATATATATTAACCTGTTTTATTTTATCAACAGGTTTAAGACATGTATTAAAGAAAAACTTTATAAAAAAGCTTATTATAATATAAATGGATACATTAATGACACTAACCCCTGGGAATGAGTTGATCGCTCCCAAGCTGTTTCTAAAAGAAAAATTTGTTGTATAATATTTTAATTTTGTTGAGAAAAAAAAATTGACAAAAAGAGTTGTTTGCGGAGTTTCTTCTCCGCTTGAGGAACCTCATTACGAAACGTTGGTAGATTAAAAATAATGTCTAATAAAAATAATGATTTTTCTTATGTGGATGAATAAATGATTTTGATTTGATTTTTTTTTTTTTGAAATACGTGTAAACTAATTGCCTAACTAAGCCCTCATTTTTAGTTAGGTTTACCCAAGCTGACTTCATGGCTCTTCGCCTAGCCCCATGAAATTGTTTCATGAAAAACGAAACATCAATACTTTTGAAATAAGATGAATTTCTGAAGTGGGGTCGCGTCATGAACTGAGCCCTTACATCCTCTTTACACAGACCTTTTTTACCACTTCTGGACGATAAGAATACCTAAGGAATCCGTGAATATCGTATACCCATCCTAATAACCAGGTATGGACTCAATTCTGACCTTTAATTTACTTACATTTAATTTTATGACTTACTGGCGCAGTCGCCAAAGTCTTCAGTTTCCGAGGATTGTGTGTTCGATTCCCACACGGGACAACTATTTGTGTGACCCAAAAATTGTTTCGGATCTCAGTGTTTTCGTCCATGTGAAATTTATGCATGTAAACCGTCCTTACAACACAGGCTAATGTTATCCTACAGTAAGGGCAATGTTTTGTTTAAAAGATACTGAGCGATACGACATAAATATCTATAAAATGGGGAATTTCACAAACAATATTCCGGTGCCTTTATCGTCGCATGTGGATGTCTTTCCGCGAATTAGAGGATTCATATTTTATATCTTTTCGGTGCGATTAGGTATTCATACGTCGGGGTTCGGACCGCCCGTTTTCCGACCCTGTTTTTCCCAACAAATGGATTCTGTTTTTCACTTCTATGTAAACAAAAACTTTGTCTGCTCACAAGCAATATGAATCTATAATATATTTTTTCCTTTTCATTCTTCTTCACCCGAGGGTGTTATCTGTGCTTTATTTTTACCCTTTTGTAAATCGCAAACATTATTTTCCCCCAATCTTGCTTTTACATCTTAAATGTGAATAAAACTCGTGTTGTTTTTTCAAAACTTTATTAGTTCTTTATATTTATAGTACAAGTAATTTATGTTATGCTTATCGCACAATCAAATACATACAACAAATTTATATACTATTGTTACTTGTATACAATAATAAACTTCTGACATAATAATAACTGGTTATATCGAGTTCACTATTCAATAACCGATTTCATGAAAACCGCTTCCACGAAAGAGTTCTTCGAATCGTATCATATGTTACACCGAGAATAATAAGTTATTGAAAATTCTATTGGACAACATGTAGATGATTATATACAAAGGATTCTAATTGCTAAATTTAAAAATAAATAAGTATTCAGATTTATTGACAGTTTCTGTCTTTCAAAGCACTTTAATACGTCATGTTGCATGATGTGAGATAATTTCAGTAGACATGTACAGGGACGGGAAATGCGACTAGATTTAATTAATCCAAATTAAAAATAATTTTGCAAAAGCTGAATAACCGAATAAAATAATCTAATTATGACTAAGGGTAAGAGGAAGTATACCACTTGGTAACTTTTAGGCTGGAAAGATTACGCTGGAAGGGGAAAATGTTATAATTAAAATCGTACGAAATATAAATTATTTTAAGATTTGCTTACTAATTTTTATACTCTCATTATTCTACTCTGATCAATACGATATTAATTAAGGTTTTTTTTTAATTACGAGAAAGTTCTACTACACAGGATGACTAAGTTAAAATATCCAATGACCACATTGCTTCCTATTTTAATTCTTGTAAGTGAAAATTAAACAAAATGCTATGTTTATTTCTTTTTTTTAATGTTGTGTCATAGTCTGATAGAAAAACAATGAAAGTAAACCAAAATAAATTGTACTGATTTATCATTAAAAAAAAAATATTTTTCAAAGCCTGTGCAGTAGCTTTCAATGCTTATTGTATTTACAAAAACTTAAATATAACTCACGAAGTTACATTTGCAAATTACGTACAATTTACATTTCTTAATATAAAGTAAAGCTAGATATAGTGATTCGTATATCGTCGCTCTTCGTTATATGTTTATGTACAATCATTGTATTCTCTAAACATTTGTGTTAATATAGTATTGTCAGCTGTTTATCATTCCTGTGTCTCTTATTTAACATTATTTCTCACAATGGGCATTTTAAAGTTGATCTTCTTGTTTTGTTTCATCATGTATAATTTGATTTTTAGCGTCGTAAGTTTACCCGAAGATAATTATCATTCCCTTGAATTATCGTTCCCTCATTATATTCGAATTCTGAACTGCATCGTAACACACAATTATCATAATATGATACTTGAAACGATAACTTTAACTATAGATTATGCCGAAATTTGAATAAAAGGAAAAGAACGAAAAATTAAAAATCTAAAAAAGATATTTGTATATCTTAAGTTTCAATATTTACAATTCTATATGAATAAAGCGTAGATCTATTTGCTCAGGGATATTTAATTTTACATAACACAACCCAACCCTAAAATAGCGAATAATTTTTCAGCGGAATGCAACGACGTTTGTGTTCAAATAACGAATGGCCTTTTGTCTTCTTTGTTTACAGTTCTCTTTTCCATTTGATCACAAACATCATCATAAACAGCTTTATACCGTGAATATCTATTTACATCGCCGTGGTAACTGTTATTTGTCAGGAGAGATTTATTATGAGGCTCACTGCAAGCACAAAGCAGTGGACTGGTGACGTCAGCGCAAAAGCCTGCCCACCTCGCTGCATGGCCGCCGGGTACTCGCCTGACAATGGGAAAATCGAATTTGCTTCTTTGGCAAAAATTAAAACTGTTCTCGAATATACCAATATAGACAATTGTATAATACGAAAAAAGTTTTTCGTTGCTGTAATCTATCATTAGTAAAAGGATTAACTAAATTTGATAGAAAGCCCCAGTCTATCTACCAAATAGAATATTTGGAATATAGACTAAGTTAAGTAGTGGTGGTCTAGTGGCTAGGATGTTGTTACATCATTAAATGTTTTGGATTTTTTTTAGTATAATTCTGACTACTCCAAAAAAAATTTGTAAAATAGCTAATAAAAACTTTGAAAATATAATTTGTTCTGCGACAGTTAGTGCTTAAGCAAAGTGCTGTATCCCGTTAAGGATGATTCGCACATAGTAGTTCTTTTTATCACCGTTCACCAGGTATAATTGTCAGACAGTAATTTTCAAACAAATCATCTTCTAGTCCGTGCCTTTTGCGTAGACATTCAACCTCTGGGTCATCACTAACAAATAAATATCATACAAGAAACAAAAGACTGTTCTAATTTATCAATACTATATTACTCAGTCAACTCACCATTTAAGACGTGAACCATAACACTTTTAACCTGAGCGTTACTCGGATTACACTGATAAGTCCCGGAGTCCGAAGGCTTCGCTTGCTGTATCAAAAGGAACGAAGTTGTCGTTTCGCCCCTCTCTGTGACCACCGACACCCCGCCCCGGGGGGAATCGTAGCTAATGATCTAAGGGGAAAAGTACAAATATAAAATAGCTTTCTACCTCATAATTTATTGCTGGTTATTTTGTGGGTAAATCTGAATTTTGTTCGCTGATGGTAGATAGCGACATTCATCGTCTTGATATAAATTTAAATTGAAGAAGAAAATTTCGTTGAGTTTGATACCCCGTAAGCAAGCAGTTGTTATGATGGTAGTAAAGTAGTCAGTCCTATAGCTCTAGGGTTACACATAAAGGAGGAAGACGGAATGGTTCCCAAAAGCTACAACACTATAAGGGCAACACAATAGTATTTCGCCGTGGTAACTGGGCAACTGGAAATCTTCTTTACTGACATTAAAAAGTAGGAAATAGTACATACAGCAAGTACTCTTGTATGCTGTAAATATAGGTGTGAGCTTAAATAGATAGAGATAGATTCAAAGATAGCTCTTTGAAGCGAGTCTAATGTAAGTGAAAAAACACTATGTAATACTAGTAAAACCTGATTAATTACATAACATAACAATATTTATATATGTCAACTTTTAATTTATCTACACACACACGGCGTACACTAAGTTGGTGACAAAGCATTATATTTTAAATATGTACTTTACCGCATTATTGTGATTCCAGAATATATATGCTGGTGGTTCCGGCGAGTAGAGAACCACGCACGTTAAGTTTATCGTGCTGCCGCGATCTATATAAAGGTCAGGACCACCGATTATCTCTGTTGTCGGCTCTGAAACGCCCAACAAAATCATCAAACAATATTAATTGTGGCAAATTATTTATTTTCTCGGCTTTTTTGAGCTGATAAAAACACACATTAAAAACTATTTATAAGTACCAAATACGTTCATCGTAACAAGCACGAATCGTTGTACGACGAACTGAGCCGCAACTTCTTGATAATAAACGACCGACTGTAAAAGTTGTTCGTGAAACGACTTTTTTACTCGTTATTAGAAAGATGGAATAATTACAAAGCCTGTTGCCTACTCTGTTACTATTTCCAAAAGTTTTAATAACGATTACTTAATGAAAATAGTAACAATAAGAATGAATAAATATTCAAGACTTCATTATTTTTGCACAAAATTATCAAGTTCCAAGCTAAGAAAAGTTTGTACTATGGTTAGTAAGTAACTGATACAGGTTAAACAAAGTTTTCTCGAGTAAATGAATAATTGTTCTACAACAATCATCAAGACACTGGAAATTAACTATTTTCATTATTATACTTTATCATTCATTATTTTTTCAGTAGGTACTCGAACCCACGGCCTCTAGCGAAAGAGGTATGTTCAAAAGTTTTGTTTTAATTATTTTATGGCCTTACTTTTGGTCACTTTTAGATAACGTTCCAGATCAGGTAAATATTTCTCTTGTTCTAAATTTCAAACTAGAATGAAATCGGCCTAAAATACAAATCACTAAAGAAATATGTGTTACTACTTCTTTGTTGACTCTCTGTCTATTATTATAATTTACTCCTTAATTTTGAGTGTAGTTATTTGTAGCTAGACATATTAAGATGTACCGAAAGGTAAATGACGTTTGTTTTATACAGTGTGTCGTTACAACCGCGACAATACATGAACACACGTCTAACGCTACATGCCAATAACCATAAAAAAATATTAAGGTTAAAAAAATCCATGATTAAAAAAAATATTTATTAAGTAAAAAAGAAACAAAATTTGTAACACCTATACAACTACAACTGACTGAATCAATCATTCAGAGACTTTTTCATTCTTTGCCATAGCGTCGCATTACAAGCCTCTCCTTCTAACAGCATGTTTTGTCTCTTTTAAATTCATTCAAGCCATTCATATGCTTTGTGACCTTTACAAATGAACTTTACGTTACAGTTTTATACGTAAGGGTGTTCTAAAATTCTTTGTTTTGGAAAATTTAATAACTTGGTAAATATTGATGTGTAAAGAATGTAAATGTTTAACAAAATTTTAAAAAGTTATCCTCTAAATGTGTTCATTCATTGTCGCGATTGTAAAGACACGATGTATAATACATATAATAAATGTTACCATATAAAACAAACGTTAAACAAAATTATCTTAATACGAAAGATATTTTACATTTAAATAATTTAAAAATTTTAGTAATGTTTGTTCACAGAACATAATACTCACATTTCTACGACTTAAATATAAACAAACTTCGACTATTGCTGTGCATAAATAATCACTATGATCATAATTAAACGTTTACTAAGGCTTTCAAAGGCTTGTAACTAATCTATATATCGTGTTATTATAATTCCTATACCTGTACAAATGTTTATATAGTTTTATAAAGATTTTATATTTATTTATAAACTTTATTCCGGACACGTTGATTTCAATTCAAAACGTTTGTTATGGAAAACTTTGCTATAACGTGACATGAAAAAAAGACTCACCGACTACGTTCAAATGTATGTAATGGCTCATATGCGGCGTAGTTGATATCTGGCACTCGTAAATTCCAGTGTCTCTATGTTGAGGATATTTTATCTGAAACAATTATTTACAATGACGTTCATATTTATGTTCATATCATAATATTCCCTGCCACTCAACGGAGTTCAATTTCGCGGTCTACTGCACAAATTATTCAACTAGTTCTTTTACAGATTTGCATGTCCTCCGTTTTTATTAAAGAGACAATCTAATAAATAAGTTTCTACAACGTCATTACCATACAAATGTAAGTTTCTTTACCTAAAGCGCTTTTCATCTGTCATGATATTCAGTAAACGTTCCATAAAAGAATCTTTTTAACCGTTTTGTTCTTTACTCCCCTCTATATTGTCGCGACGTAATAACCGCAGTTTTACGCTCAGTCGTTACCAGTTAACAGTTATGGGTGCAGTAGGATCTCTTAAGCTCGCTTATTCAGATTGCGAAATGTATTTACAAAAGTAACGATATAATCTCGTACCTTTTGCTATTCTAGTGTTGAATTACCATTACTCATTATTAGCAACTATTTCAGAATGATATATTCTATGTATATGTAAATTGAAAAAAGTAAATCTTAGAGTTGATTTTTTGTCACAGCAATGTTAAGTTCAGATAAGTTAAGTTAAGTTTCATCTTGAATCCAGATAACTAGCACTACAGTGCTAGTTATCTAAATACGCCTTCTTGGTACCAGACGCGCTACTGGTTACCTAAAAGACGGAAGTTCGAGTCGTGTGGGATACGGATCCAGCACAGATTTTTTTGTTTATTCATGTACAAAAATTCCAAAATAAAATTGGAGTAAATCTAGTCAAACCAAAACTATTAACCTTACCTGCAGAGTCCAATCTTCAGTGTGTGGTAGATGTATAGACCGAAATCGCTGATCGCTCGTATACGTGTATCTTCCCACAGTCAATAAATGAATGTCTCTGTGTCGAACCCAGGAAACTTGCATATTCAGCTAGGCATAAACAAGGTATAATTTGATATAAATAAATATCAATAGGATTTCAGCCAGTGATAACCTACGGAACCGAAACACACGATCCTTCTGGCCGTATGAGGAAACACGAAGTCGCTCAGCGAGCTATGGAGCCGACAATATAGCTCATAGAAGCGATAACCGATGGGGAATGAAGAACCGATTATCGAGTGGCAGCTTAGTTGGAATGACTACCAATGCAAATGTGTGGGCAGTGGATTGTTGCATGTGGCTCAGGATCGTACTTCGTGGCGGTCTGCGGGAAGGCGTTCTATCAGCATTGGACTCTAACGGGTTGAAGGCGACATTTCTACTTTTCAAATATTCATTGTGAAAATGTTATTTGAAAAATTGTGATTGCTATAATTGAATCACATTAGATATCGCAAAGCATTGCCAGAAATGTACTAAAAACAAAATGGATAACATTTTCGAGCGATGAAAATGTCAATCGTTTAGCTTATCGCCTAAATCCTGAAAAGAGAAACATTTTGCGAAAGTTTTATATCAGTTAGTACATTTTTAAGTTAATCGATGAAATGTTTCAAAAACTCATGTCTTTTGGTCAATTAGATTTTTTATTTCTATTCATCAAATTAACGGTATTATTTTGAGAATGGAAATAAAAATATTTGCATACTTTTTCTTGTTTTCTATATCAATAAATCCTTTTATTTTCTCTCATTTAACAACGATTTCTAATAAATTAAAGCGACATTTAATGAATTCAGCAACCGGTGACAGTAAGCGGCATGATTACTTTTAATTTTTTAATAAAAAAATCATAAATTATGAATAAAATTTTATTTATTAAAATTCTTTCATTACAAATGTGAATAAATACATGACATTTTGTTATAAACGAGCAATTTCCAATTAAGGTCCATTACAAAGCCGCGTTACAAGCAAAGAAAATTAGTTATTATTAATTTTATTTTTCAAAAATCCGAAATACTTTCTTACTGTTATGTCACATTGTTGGACAAGTTATAATTCATCGGTCAATATCCAATCCGCACGAGATTTCCATTGTTTTTATTGCATTATTAGCAGTGTTTTGCCCCAAGTTGAATGCCACCTTTACAGCACACTTTCTCAAATGATATTTTTACAATAGAGAGACTATTACAAAATGTAATTTTATTTAGAGTATTGAAATTAACTTTTATTTTTACTGATGATATCTATTCTCAAAATAAACGTTTAATACGTTTTAATGTCTAAACCTTTCGTAATTTGGACAGCAGTCCACGTATCAATGTAAATCAGTGCACCTCAAGCATAAATGATGCACGCTATGGCTTTTATGTAATAATCCATATTATCAATATTAATATTATAAATGCTAAATTAACTCTGTCTCGCTTTCACACCAAAACTCCTGAACCGATTTAAATGAAATTTGGTACACAGATAGTCTAGAGCCTGAGAAACGACTACTTTTTAATTATTTTTTTTAAAGAAAGATATTTATTTAAGGGCTTCAACGCGAGCGAAGCCGCGGGCGAAAAACTAGTAATTAACAAAGTTGAATAATCCCCACGCCCGCCACGGTTCCTTTAAGGGTGCCATCCGTAGGGTCCATCAACGTTCCTTATATTTGAGAGCCCAGGGGCATTTTCCGCCACGATGGGGGCTTTATTCATCTAAGGGGTACTTCGGGCAGGGCCGATGCGACATCGGAGGCAGCTTTTAAGCTCGCTTATTCAGATTGCGAAATGTACTTACAGAAATGACGCACGTATATAATATGTATTTTAGTTCAGGTTAAGGGTTTGTGCCATTTGTCGTTGAATCCTTTAGGTCCGTGGGGTTCCTACACATCGAAATTTTTGAAGAGTCATGTCCTGGATTTAAGAGTACCGGTACAAAGGTTTTTTCGCACAAAGGTTCACCATAACTATTCAGTGAGGAAATGCAGCAAGCATTCTTGGCACCATACCGCGTTTACCATACCAGCATACAACACCTTACCATTTTAGGTTTTCATTGTTATTTGATGATTATTATAATTTTTTGTTAATCAATACATTTATTTCAACTAACCCATTTAAAAGCAGAACAGTTAATTTTAATGTGTCTATTCATTACCTGAACTGGTTATAAAATATAATTTTGCAAATGCGCGTCGTGATAAGACAAAAGTATGTAGTGTGCTGCTCGTGGCAGATAACTATTTAATTATTAAATCACACGAAGAGCTTAACCGAATAATTTATGGTGATCACCATAAATTATTCATATAAGGACTGAAACATATTGCAATTAATGAAAAGCTAATAAGGTCTTAAAAGTTAATAATTTTCAATAATTTATAATAAAAACACCACGAAAATATTTATGGATAGATAACGAATAATTGGAAGTAATCTAATACGAAGGCCTGAATTACTTACTGAAATTATTTTTAAAATCTTTACATTGAAAGACTTGAATATATTTTGCACTGTTTTATATTCCCAACATTTTTTTACTGACTTAATGATCAGTTTCCGGTTTTCCAGTATAAATCACTCCCCTACCCAAGAGCTACCCGACAACTCATCATGAAGACGGTTTGTAGCAATTATCAAGCAAGATGCCATTAGTGGGCGTCGTAGCAATAATTAGAGCTCCTAAGTAAATGTAGATTACTGATTGCCCATTATACGCACTATTTCGCGTGAACCGGTCGAGCCCGCTAAATATTGCACATGCAATGCAATTTAATAACTTCCCACCAAATCCAATAACGAAATAATACTTATATGTAATTGAGTAATATAAGGTAATTGATTGTTTTGGTAAAAACGTAAATTTCATTATCGCAAAATTTAATTCCTTTCACCTTTATTTGCACGATTATGATAATCATTTAAATTGCTTTACGGATTTTATAAAGTTTTAATAAGAATTCCCGATGATTGGAACCTTTTCCAATGTTCATGGTCACAGGACCTGCGCTGGAAAGGAATCGAAACGTCGGGAATTTAGAAATCTATTTATAAAGTGATAAATTTCGTAAAATAGTTTAATTTAACAATGTATAATATTCGTCTAAAACAAGAAAGCAATCAACTACATAAATTATTTAATTATGTACGTAAAGATTGTTTGCTTATGAAACTATTTCTTATGACTCAATACTTAAAATACTTTAAGTAAAATAGCTATGTCACCAGAATGTACTGCTGCAACATGGATATGTTGGATAACACTGCGATATATCTACAAAGAGTAACTACGTAGTATAATTATTTTTCTATACGTAATTCAAGATTATAAGATAGAATGAATAGCCTGTCACTAGACTTATTTATCTTACGAGACGTGGCACCGCGTCCTAATGAGAATTTTATTTACAAAGTTGGGCCCATAATGGGGGTCTTTAAAGTTGCATTGTGCTATTGTTACATTTCATTTTAGCCGAGGATTTTGTGGTACGCCGCTATGTAAATTGGACGTTGGCTTCGGAATAAAAGGGAACTCGTTAGTGCCAACGTGTGCGCCCGAATTTAGCTGTACTTATTTATGTTATTGTTATCGTCGGAATGTGTTTGCTACTACAATGGCGTCATTTCTTACCCCGCCGAGAAATATTAGCCTGAGTACTAAGGCTATCTGAGTACTGAGCAGAAGATAGCTTTTTTCTGAATACGAATTTTAAACATAATATATGTATATTACATTTAAGTATTTGAAACATTTCTTGTTATATGTAAATACTTGTACTTCAATATAAAACTTTGTACTCTCCGTGAATCATTTGCCATTAATATCTAATTAAGTGTGCTTTTGGCGCACTTATAAAATCCAGACCAATATATTAAATGTAAAATTGAATATAAAATATATCAATTTTTACACGTGTAAAAAAATCGAATTACATTTAATTTTGTAAGCAACAGTGAGTCACTTTAAGACACATTCATTCGTTGTCAGTTGTTTAGAGGCGTACCTGATTTACAGTTAGGTTTTGGCAAGACGTCCCTTTCAATCTAGTAGAAATAACCCTTCAAGTTTGAGCCTATATATCGAGATAGCCCCTGCCGAAGCTCGCTGAGTGACGTCTGTCGCGTACTTCAAGATTAGAATGTTATCCTCACTTACCGTTTTGTTACCCAAATTCTTGACGCGGCAGTTCAAGTAAGCTGTCTTGCCGAGTAATGCGGTGACGTTCTTCGAGAACGCCAGGTCGAAGTAGGGGCCTGCGCGCGGCGTGGGTCTAGGGTCCGCGGCCCCAGGCCGTATTGCGTTGTCCCCGGGGCCGGGTGGGGCAGTAGCTGATGCGTTGGCGGGCCCGCCCTTGCCCAACTCGCGTTGCGCCGATGACACTGCGCCGAGATGGACAAGATGAGATTAGACTGAGCTATACTACGCGGCCCAATTGCCGATGTATCGGCTTCGGCCGAGGATCGATGATTCGATTCCCACACGGCACAACTATTTGTGCTACCCACAAATAATTGTTTTAGATCGATCCGTTAAAACGTTCTCACGACACAGGACTTTGTTATCTCACAGTGAAGTCAATAGTTAAAATTTTAGAAAATAAGTGTATAGTTGTTTATTCAAATCATTTATATAGACCAAAAACTATTTTAATTACTTGCTATTTTATTAACTTTAGTAGCTCATATTTTATATGTTATATTTTTGGTATATTTATGCAATTTATATTATTAACTGCATGAATTTAAATAAGTAATATTTAGGTACAATAGTTTTTTGTAGTTGTTTACATTCATCGTTTTATATATTTACTATTCCTATTTTGTATATGTTAATGTAAATAAAATGTCAATAAACAATGTTTTACTTCAACTTTCGACATTTATCCACTAAATAAAACGCCTACTGTCGTGGAAAGCTGCAAGTTGCATTCAATTTTAATGTTTTTATTTTCATTGCCCTGCTTTTGTTTAATTAATTGTCATTGAATTTGACATCCCTCCTACTTGAATTAAAATTAAAGCTGAAAAATAGTTCGATAACATAGAAAAATTGTTCTATATAAACAAAATATATAATAGGTTTCGCCTCAATACATTAACTAATTTAGTTATAAATAATCGCACCTACAATAATTAACCTTTAACAAAGACATAATAAAGATTATATACATATAAATATAAAATACAGTTTTCTTTCAATAATTCGAATGAATGTGCATCAGGGCTATATTTGTGTATTACGTAAATATTATTCATCACAAATGAAAACTATTAACTACTAATATCGCGGCTTAGTGAATGGTTCTTTAAAGTAACGGTTTACCGCAGATTTTTAATAAAAAGAGTCCAAGAGTGCCGAATCAGGAAACTAAGTCATTGGTAAGTAACGGCCAATACATGTCCCACTGCTGGGCAAAGACCTCCTCTGTACAGAGGGTATCAGGGCATAGTTCACCATGTGGCCCCACTGTTGCTTGGTGGAATTCACATATCATCGAAATAATTTTTTGTTATTTCGAAAATATGCAGGTTTCCTCACGATGTTTTCCTTCATTGCTTATAGCACGTGATATGCCAGCACTTAAAATGAACAATTTCATTGGTGCCGGCACCGGGAGTCGAACTTGGGTTGCTCAAATATATTGATTTAAAGCCCTTACACTGAGCTATCACAGTTGGGTAGCCAGTGGTAATAGATACCTAGTACATAATTAATTTTATTATAAATAATTGTAATTTAAAACCTTACAACACTTTGTCTGTGAACTATCGCGGTTCTTGTATTTCTTCACACGATTCACATGGGTTTAATGCCTCTAAATATGCCTTATATTCTTCTTTAAAAGGTCATCACACTGTTAATGAAATATTTAGCATTGCAAAAAAATTATACCATCCACCTTGCCATTCAATGATTTTTCTTCGCTTTCTTCTTTTTGATTGATGACGTCGATGATTATTTTCCGCTGATTGAATTATTTTTTTTAATTCTGGAGTAGTAGCTCATGATACTACGTCTGTTCAAAATTTTGCATGTATGTTTCAAATATGTCCTAACAAGCGTTATTTTTAACTGTGTTCGGCTCTTTCTATGTTTCCTTTAGTCGTACACGTAGTACGTAGGGCAGCTAAAGCACCGATCACATTATGTTCATATTTTTTTCTGTATATTATAAGAAGATTCAACCTTATGATTTTCTCGTAAGCTTTGTTTTTTATGTCGTTGTGTTCTCTTTGGCGTGTTTTAACTAAATTTTACCTAAATTTTCAAAATGTCTTCAGTTACTTTCAAAGCGATTTTCCTAAAAAGCACAGATACTGCAACTATCTATTGAATATTCATTCTAGGGAAAAATATTTGTTTAATTGAAAAATTATAATAGAAGATTCAACAAAAAATTTTCTCGTAAGCTTGTCAACTAAGCTTGATAAATTCCGGATATAAGCAGGCCGTGTCATTGGGATCCTCCAAAAGCGTATGCTTATACGACATTAAGTGGCTCGTGTCACTGTCAAATGACATGTCATTTGGGTATTCGACGTCTACGCGGCTTTCATAAAACGGGACGCTGAGCTCGGCACCGCTCATCCTGAAATTATGGCAATTTGACAGTAATTGCAATCATCGATTATTGCTTTTACCTTTGGCCGTTTCTTAAGATATATTGTTTAAAAATATATGCGTTAAATGAGACTCCTCTGTGTTTTTTCCGTTTTCTTTATGGCTCCTGTTTTAATAATAATACATTTTTACATTTAAAAACATATAAGTAATGTCAATATAAAAACTATGAATGTAAATAACGTACATAGATTGTTTAACATAAACGTTTGTAAGTCTTTGTAAGTTTCTCATATTGAATAAAAAATGCAAGAACATAGCCTTGACGCGAAATACTTATTTCACTATTAGTAACATACAAAATAAATCGTAATCAGTCGGTATTTCGTTCATTATATACAATAACACAATTTATATTAAAATACCATTAAAATTAGATGATAATTTTAAACACACAAAACTCAGTAAAAATATTAGTTTTTATACATTTTATAAATATAAATATTTAGGACACATTTTTACACAACGTTCTCTAGTCCCAAACTAAGCAAAGCTTGTACTATGGGTACTAGGTAACTGATAAACATACTTAAACATACTTTTAAATAAATACATATATAGATATATAAAACCCAGACACTGGAAAAACACTATGTTCATCACACAATATTTTTCCAGTAGTGGGGATCGAACCCACACCCTCTGACGCAGAAGGCAGGTACACTACCCACTACGCCATTCGGGTCGTCAAAAAACAAAAATGGTTAGTCTTTAGGCTAAAACATAAATGGTTAGTCTTTAGGCTCTGCGATAGAAATTATTATGCCATATATATTATAATCCTACGAGTTTCGGGAACCGCGCTTAGATACTTTAATAACTAATCTAAGTGATCGATGGCTCTGTGGCGAAATTGCCAAGGTATGGCTTTGGCGTTGGGGTCATGGCTTCGATTCCCACACGGGACAATTATTAGTGTATAGACGATTTTTAGTCTCAGTGAACACGCTTAATGGCTAGTGAAGCCGATTTAGTGTCTAGTTTCGTTCTCTCCTCAGATCAAAACGTGCCTAAAGATGACTTCACATTTTAGGATGTCTTATAAATACGGGTTTACTTCATTACTAACAACTACACACTATTCAATTTAGAATGTAAAAGCTTGCCCCATTGTGAAATTAACAAATATTCTAAATATAACATGTGATCACAATCGGTCCTGCTGTGTTAAACAGATGTCAACATACAAAATATGAGGACGGATTCGCTTCTTAAGTGAGTTAAAAGTAGGCCTTAATGCCTCTGAATTATTGACGCGCGAGGGAAAACGCCTGTTGTTCTGGCCGTGTAAGATTTAATCACGTGTAAGTTGACGTCACTTCGGCAAAGCTCGAGTGATTTGATGTGGAGTTAATAATGTACCTACCCGTCAGAACGATAAAATCGGATAACATTCTAGTCGATACACCGCATAAAATTTCTATTACATTTTATCGTGTTACATAAAAACGTTAGGGCAAGCTTAAATAAAGAAAATTAAAAAAAATATATTGATAGTGTACCAATGCGCAAAATATCATTTTGCATGTATTTGTGTTCATGCGTCTGTTTGGTAATGATTTTAGATGGTGAACAAATTGTCTACTAACTTGTAACGATAACAGTACAAGCTTCTAATATTTCAACTTTAATTTTCCCCGTAATCTCTTTTTCTTCTACTTATGTCATAAAGCCCACAGCGCTACACACCACAGCAACTGCCCATTCGCTAGCAATAATCCTTTATTATTGTCGAGCGATCTTTCCTAACTCAATGTATGTGTGACGTGCATTTCTTATTTGATATCATAATGGTTAAGTCTTAAAGCACTCAATTATCTCTTATTTCTAAACAGTCTACTTTGAAATTATTTATAACTTTAGACCGCATCACTCTATCGGCTACTTCGTTGTAAAGTAAGCAGCCCTCAGGGCCGACAAGCGTGAAACCACTCCCCTCTGACTTCGCGACGGATTTCATTTAAATTTCAAAGCTCACAAAGTATAAAGTACAACAAAGGCGAGTAATTTAACTTGGACACATTTTATTCATTGGATTCTCGAGCACAGAGAAATTATGCGTGTGAGCGTTTCGGTTAATAAGAATATTGCGAAAAGCGTCCAAATAAATTATCATCATACAAAGAAAAACTTCATACGCATATACTGAATAAAGGGGAGTCAAAAACCTCTTAAGTATGTGTAATAATTGTGATACAACAATTTTTTCTCATTTGTGGACTAGTTTACGGATACAGTTAGCGTTTTGTGCATGGATCAGAATAAAATTATTTAAAAGCAGGCAGTATCCCGATTTACATTGATATCATCATACATCTGGACTTCAAACATCTCGGCCCGACGCGTAATCATCAATGCTTTAAATAATGTTCGAAGGCCGAGAGTTGATAATTGAAACTAGTCTCTGTAAATAATATATAAGTCAAGAATACCCTTATTTTATCAAAGTATTTATCATTATATTGTAATATTGAATAGAAATTACAAAAACTTGACAAATGAGAACTAGACCGAAAAAATTACATTTTAAATTAACTCCGACCTGTATCTATATGAGTAGTGTCTTTACAAGCGCTTTTTTTTTTGTGAATAGTTTAATGAATTGCTACTTAATTTTGTACTGTGTACTTATTAAGTTATGTTTAGTGAAAGATTATTATAATAATTTGTAAAAATTATTTTCATAACTTATCTTAAAAAAAATATTAAATCACCGTTTCTTGATTCATTTTTAAAATTTTTTATTTACGTTGTGAAA